TTTTTTTTCTTCTTAGGATTAAAAAAGGAGGGGGGATAAGTAATTTGGTCAGTCTGATATGTCTGGTAAGTAGGAGAAGAGAGTACTTTGCCCTTTTAATAAAAACAATGCTGGTCTTGTACTACCCCCATATGAACCAGCATTTTGTTTGTCATCTCTTTGTTACTTTTTAAAAGAAGAGGTGCTGTGCTGCTCAGATTGATGGAGAAAGGAAGGATACTCTACAATAGATTTCAGTTCTCTGTATCTAGTTTGCATCAGCTTGCTGGTTTGTTTGTTTGTTTGTTTTTCTTTTACATCAGCACAGATAACAGAAAACATGCAAATAAAAGAATATTGTCTCCTCTGAGGATTTGTTGAGCCACTGTTAAAGCAGTTGAAAGCCCAGGGGTGTTAGAAATATAGTAGTGACTCTTGGTCACTACTTTTAATACCCACGTCCTTGGACTTTGTTGTACAGAAATGTTTTTTTGTTGTGATAAAAGTATTTAAGTGATTCCTTTATTTTAATATCATCTTTATTGTTTGCTAGCACATATGTTTATGGAACAGATCTTTTTCTGTGAGTCTCCTTTTCGTGGTGTCTCAAAACACAGTCCTGGTGGAGATATATGATCATTATCTTCCACATCATCTTTTATTTCTTCTATTTTGTTGCTTTTGGTTTATATCTGGGGAGTTGTGTAGTACTAAACAGTTTTAGACAGTTTGGAATCAGATTGATAATTGCTGCACTTAGCTGTCACTGCATATTATTTGGGGAGGTTAGCTGGAAAGAAGGGGTTCCCTTAAAGCTTTTGGTACTATTACTAATGTTTGAGCTCTTGGCTGAGTGTTAATATTGGCAAGTAGTTGTGGAAAGCTGTTAAGGATTTGGCTAATATCCAAACTCCCTGCTGACTAGGTGATTCAGGCTGGAGGAGGACACACTAAAAGTCTAACTCATCCCTGAGCATGTAAGAGTGTGTAAACAGTGAAAACCAGGACTTGGGGGGTTCCATGCAGACAGTATTTCAAGGGAACCATGTAATTATGTAAAATGTAGAAGCAATGATTTGGAAAGTAAATTAAGTGAGACAGACTTTCTGTTAGCATCATATTAGAATCCTGTGGTTTAAGTCTCTATAAAAATAGGTAGTTAAAAATCAAATAAAATGCATTGTCAGAGCATGTGGGTAATGTGAAGCCATGATATTACTGTCTGCACAGTGCAGAGATTTTAAAACTCAAAAGAACCTTTTATAGGAAAATGTGTATAGTGGGTCTGCAGTCTGTCCCTACTGGACTGAACGAATGTGGGTGACTTTTTATCTGAGAAGTTTTTTAGGCAATGTGATCTTTGAGTTGTATTGGAGCTCTTTAGTGCTGGCTACTGCAACATCTGCAGCTTCCAGGCTTCTATCGAGGGTTAGGGTTGATCTCCTTAGCTGTGGGCATACTGTTCTTGTCTGGGGTGAAAAATTATTGCTTGAGAGTATTCTTCCCCCTCCCTCAAATTAAAATAGCAATATAAAATCAATTTAATCATCAAGATTGAGTGGGCAGATGAGATATAGGTGAGTCTAAGTTCAACTGGAATGGCTCTGTTGGGGGGTTCTATGGGAAGATGAGAGAAGGGATCTCTTCTCTCCTGTTCTGTAGGCAGTAGATGATGATCTGTGTGGCAATTGTTGAGGCCCTGAGGCTGATATTGCTTCTTCATGTCTCCAGTTCCTGATGTGTTGAGACACACAGTAAATCCTCCTGAAGCAAGGAAGGCTCTGTGCATAAGCATTAAAGAGTAGAAAATGATGTAGGTGCCTTTCCCCCCTCTTGCAGACAGCAGTGGTATATGGCTTCTACTGTGTCTGAGATTTTCACAGCCATAAAGGAAATCTCAAGGTTTATCCATAAGATGTATATACTTTGAAAAAGCCTACTTTCATGTGCTTGCCTTTTTCTGAGATGTTTGCACGAAAGCCAGCCTGTGTAACTCAGGATGGAGGTGCTAACAAATTGCAAATGAAAATAGAGATAAACCGTAAGAATTTCTTTAAATCAGGGTTTTCAGCTTTTGGTCTGTGAGCCATCCTGAGTAGGTCATTAAGTAAGAAAACCAAGCATATTGTCAGTGTGTTTGCCCTTTCTACATAGAGGTCTCTGTTTTGATTATAATATTTCTAAGGGAAAAATTTAAGCAATAATTGGAAATGGTGTGGAAGTAATAACATTTCTTTGGTGGTGTTTTGCTTCTCTGTTCCTGTTGCTTTCAGAACTTTCACAAGCTTATGAAAGCTACTATGTTAAATCGGTATTTGAATGTTATTATTAAAGAAATTCAGGGAGAAGGTAGCCTCCCTTTGGATAAGGAATGATGATTTTCTTCTTCTGTAGGGCTCAATGGTAAGCATTGGAGGGCTAAGCAAGATGAAAACGTTCTCTGATTTGAGATGAGAACTTCCAAAACTTCACACAAGTAGAGAAAAGAAAGACCACAATGAATAAGTTCTAAAAGGCAAAACAAGTACCTAAAAATACATATCAGAGACAAACAGAAGGCTAAGTAGGTTATTAAGTAACTCTAAGCAAGAAGCATAAATTACTTATTTATCAGACTGTGGCAATGACAAGGAAAAACACTATGGGTATGATGTAAGGATATCCTGTACCTCTGTTTTTCAGGATGGATGAATCTGCACCAAACCCCTCCACATGGACATGTATCATGTCTGCTGTAGCTCAAAATATTTTATTGTATCCAGTTTAAATTGACATGGACAGCTTCTGCTAGCATCCTTAGTTTTTCACCTGGCAGGATAGTGTTTTTTTTTGATTTGGACCTTTTTTTTCAGGGTGGAAAGGGAATGTAGAGTGGGAGGAACTGTATCAGTTTAGAAGACAATTGCTTTTGCTCAGAATCTGCCACGAACCAGTGGAGGGAAAATGATCTTCATCTCTGATCTCGTGGGAGATTGTCTTTGCAGGAGTTACAGAACTTTTTCAGGAAACTAGAAAGGCACAAGGGTGGATTTCTCGGAGGGCATAATGTGTGATGCTCCTTGCCTGGCACTTGAGAATTAGGATAAGTAGTTGCATTCCTCCAGTCACCATGATCAGATAGATTTTTGTTATTGTTGTTGATTAATACATTGAAGCTGAGATGGCAGACAAACTGCATCAAACTCTTTTGGTGGAACAAGCTGTGGGTCGTCTCTTGAATGCTGGGTGACAACTGAAAAGAGGGACAGGTTTGTATACTGATGCTGGAATGTCGAAATTTGAAAATGTAAATCAGCAAATTACATCTGGTTCCTTTATATCTTTTGGTTCCTTTGTATCTATGGGCCTTGGGGCTGAATTCTGGAAGCTTTAGGAGGTTTTAATGGCTCAGAAAGTTGGATCAGGCTTTTGCATCTAAACATGGGAAAGCAGTGAAAACACAAGAATGGCCGCTGTTGTACAACAGTAGTTGAAACAAGCTGAAACAGCTAATTCAGATGCATGCTGGTAATTCAAATGAAACAAAAATGCTTAAGACTGTGCTGGCTCTTAAACTTGATGAAAACACAGCATATACTAAGCCATTCTTAGAGCTCATGTAAGTCCTGGGATAATGAGGGGTCAGTGGAGAACTCAACATGCTTCTTGTTTGCTGACATCATTAGTGTCCTTGGTGTTTTATACTCATATTGTTGCTGAGGATTTAATAGACTAGAGCTTAATAAATATGACAATTAATTATCCTACTGCCTGCCCCTGCATCAACACTTCTCACAGCAGATGTAGAACAGATGTTTTAAAACACTGGGAATAATGTATCTATCATAATGAGGATGCCTTGAGGGAATGGTTAAAAATTACTGGATTTGACTGAATTCCAACTTCTGTTTTTTCTGTAGACACCTTTGAAATAAATGGTGCTAGATCTGGTTGATGACCACCAATTTAATACCACAAGTTTATTGAAATGATTGTATTTATAAAAAAAAAATAATCAAGAGGCCTGCCTAATCCCAAAGTCCTATTGTATGCTTATTTTTATCCTTCAGAAAGTTAATAAACTTACTCAAAACTTGCTAAATGTATAATAATATATTATGTATAATAATATAATATTGAAGAATTTTAAAATTGGTCCACAGCATTGGTCCACATCTATGTGTTGCTTGGTTAAATAAATTACAAGGCTAGTTCTATCAAAGTAATGGGAAAAAAAAAAAAGAAAGCAAATTGTATTTCACAAGCACTCCTTTTCTAAATGAAAACCTAGATTATTGTCATGGAAGCTTTTCCTGAGAAGCTTATTAACGACAAATACAGGCATGTTAGTACTTCATTAAACAAATGATACTGTGTCATAATACATTCTAAATGTTTGTAAGGAAATATTCTCTCAAATTAGCGTAGTTTTATTGTTAATTTTTCTTACTAAAATATGTTTTTACTGGTTACAGCTGAACTATTAGAAACAGTTTCCTTCATCTTTTTTCCTATCCTAAAGCCTCTTTGTTAATCCAAACAGAAATTAAAATCTCTGCTTGTTTCCTTGTTCTGTCTAATATTGTCAGAGAATGCACAAAACTGCTGAATTTCTGCTTTTATGCTGTCTTTTGAAAATGTAATATCTTAATTCTTTGGGTAGTTCTTTATGTCAACAGTAGCTATCTTTTTTCCTTCGTATAAACTTCACATGGTCAGTCATTTAAGTCCATTAATATATCAGCTAAGGCATGTTTTTGGGCCCATGTTGTTCATGGCAACATAAAGTAACTCAAAATTTTGTTAAACTAACTCAAAATTTTCTAACCAGAAAGAAACGAAGAGTTTTCTTCTGATTGAAATTAGTTTGGAAATGCATCTTTAACTAGTCACCCTAAATACTAAACATATAGTAGATTTTATTTTTGAAGTTATTACTCTAGGGAGTGAGTTACTTATTGTATGACATGTGGCGATTACTTGCAAACTTATTTTCCGAGATGAAAGCTTAATTTTATAATTTTTTTTTTTTTAATCCCCAGGTCTGTCTTTGGAGGAAAAAGAGATTTTTGCCTACTGGAAGAATGCAGTGAAACTGCCAATATTTCTAGCTGGAATTATAAGTTTAATACTCAACTGTAGTGTTACTAATTTCTTACTAAACAGTACCTCAAAGTAGAAGAAAAATGTATGGAAGTGCAAGAACAATCAGCAACTTGGAAGGAAGTCCCTCCAGGTCTCCCCGTTTGCCCAGGTCCCCCCGCCTGGGTCACAGGAGAACAAGCAGCGGGGGAGGAGGAGGAGCAGGGAAGACGTTGTCGATGGAGAACATCCAGTCCCTTAATGCAGCCTATGCAACATCTGGACCAATGTACCTGAGTGACCACGAAGGTGTAGCTTCTACTACTTTCCCAAAGGGCACAATGACTCTTGGAAGGGCTACAAATCGAGCTGTGTACGGGGGTCGAGTCACAGCGATGGGGAGCAGCCCCAATATTGCGTCGGCTGGACTTTCGCACACGGACGTCCTTTCTTACACGGATCAGCACGGGGGTCTGACCACATCTTCACACCACCACCACCATCAGGTTCCTTCTATGCTGAGACAGGTTAGAGATAGTGCCGTGTTAGACCTGCAGGCTCAGCTTAAGGATCTGCAGAGGGAGAATGATCTTCTCAGAAAAGAACTGGACATTAAGGACAGCAAGCTGGGGTCCTCTATGAATAGCATCAAAACTTTCTGGAGCCCTGAGCTAAAGAAAGAAAGAGTGTTGAGGAAAGAAGAAGCAGCCAGAATGTCAGTTCTTAAAGAACAAATGAGAGTTTCCCATGAAGAAAATCAGGTAAGTAATTAGGAAGGTTTCTTTCTGTTGGTTTACAACCAAGCACTTGATGTTTTGCTTATGGTTCTTTATCCTGTGCTGGAACAAGTTTGACGTTTGCCATAAGAATTGTATGTTTTGATCTGGCTGCTTCTGGCTGCTAAACAGTAGGACAGCACACTAATAAGAATCCAAATGCAGGTTATAATTTCCCCATGCAGCATTCTTTTACATTTTAGCTGAAGAGAATGACCTTTCTCTTATTTTTGACACTTTCTCTGTGCTTTTATTCCTTTTTTTTGCAACAACAGCCTAAATATACTTGGCAACCTTTTTCTGAAGAGGTAAATGAGCCACCTTTGCAAAAGTATAAATAAGCATCTAGAGGCATATTTTGTATGAGCCACAGGGATTTAACAGTTTTAAAGTTAAAAGAAGGTAAATACCCATATGCAACTTTCTGTATTTCTGCATTACAGAATGAAGTTGAAGTTGTGTTTTCAGTACCATTTCAGAGACCTGTGTCTTATTTACAAGATACTCCTTTTCTATATATTTAAATTATTTCTGTTCACAACATAACATTATTTTTCTGAAGTTAAGTATTTTACTCTGGATGGATCAATCTATAAGGCTAAGCTTTGAGAATCTATGATATATCACAAAGCAATACAAACCAGTGGCACATAATAGATTAAAAAAAATTCTCATATTCCTGTCTCCACACACTTTTTGGCTGCTGGTCTCATTTTAAAGCTGCTCCTTTTGAGACCATCTGTTAACTTTCTCCAGACAAAAACACAATCCTGTGTTTCTCTCACTTCCAGATTCCAAATCTAAACTTCTTTGCTGGCAGGCAGCAACAAGTGAAATTTTGAATTTACTTCCAAGTTTGTGATCATTAGTGCTTCTCAGCAAACTTTCCACCTTTTAGGCATGTCATGAACCCAGATCTCGACAGAACTAACAACTGTTACCAGTTACATCAGTGGGAGACTGGGTCACAGTCAGAATTCAGTACAGTGAATTAACTTACTACTTTCTTCTATAACTTCTGTATCTGGACTGACAGTAATAGTTACTGAGTATTTTTTTATAGTAGGTGCACAAGGATGCTGCTGGAACCAAGATTATCAAAAAGATAAGAGATTCTGCTTTGATGGAGATTCTGCTATTCAAAAGCATTATTGGCTAGATATTATAATTGTGATAGTGTCACCTCAGTAGGAGGAATATTCTAATACACTCTGTTCTGGTAGCCTTTCTTATGGAAATGTCACATTAATATCTTATATTGACATTTGGAATCTGAAGCTGGTATTTAGAGATTTTTGTCATCTGCCAAAGTGGTTATGCCTTTTTTCTTTTTTTTCTTAAAAGCTGTTTTTCCTCATTTTGAGGGGGAAGTAAATTAGTAAGTCTGTTAGGAGTTCTCCTATTCATTAATTCATTTATCAGAAGATTATATCTTACTGACAAATACTCTTATTTTCTTGTAACTGCAAACCTGACAAAAAGAATGTATTTTACCCTATGTGTATATTTAATATGCATCCTTATAGCCCAGTATTCCATTGCTAACAGTGTCCCAAAGTTCACAGAATAGATCTAGTATGCAGTGATATCCCCACTAGTACTTTTTATGATCCAACTAGAGTTTTTGTGCTTAATAACTCTCAATGGACTTTGAATTAAGCCAGGTACTTTTGGACCTATTTAAAGTGCCAGTGTCCACAGTCTCTTAGAGCAGTGAATCCCACAGCTTAACATATCTGTCAAGTTGTGTCTGAAACTGCTTTTCATTTGGTTTTGTACTAGATTTTAGCTGCTTTTGCTACGATTTGCTTTTCCTTGTACAGGAGGAAGAATTAAATAATTGATGCCTTGTGCCAGTCTCAGTGCCACTTAATGATTTCACAGGGAACCATCATCACATCCCTCCCTCATCTCTTTCCCAGATGGGGGAATCTTAGCATGTGTGATAGTTCCTTTTGTGAAACAGTGACATTGTTTTTCAGACCTATTATATGAGGTTTTTTTGAGGTGAGGAGACCAGAATAGCTTATGTTTTTGATAATACAGGTGTAAGATGAGTTATGTTGATGTTGTAGCATTTACCCTTTTATTCTGTATGTTTCTCTCAAAAATTCACAACACTTAAACTGTCCTTTCTAGTTTTGGAGGACTTATTTATTTATTTATTTACTCCTACTGAGTACTGAGCTAGTATTTTAAGGGAAATATTTAGTATAGCTGAAGAATCTCACCACTGGTTGTCATCAGTTTAGATCCCAGCTTGTTATGCATAAAGGTAGGATTATTTTCACTTGCGTTTAACTTTTATCTCCCTGAATTTCATCTGCCAACCTTTGACTATTTGCTCAGCCTTATGAAATCCTTCTTTGCATTTGGCTTTTGTCTCTCCTGCCCTGAATAACCTAATGTCATGAGGAAAATTAGTCATCTTAGTGTTCACCCTGTTCCTTGGGTTACTCAGAATGTATCAGTCAGCACAAAGCCCAGCCACAGGTTCCAGCAAAACTCCACAGGGACCTTCTCTTGGGTTTATGAGTTGACTGTGTGTTTCTGCTATTTCCTCTCTTGTAATAAAATATTTATGTTTAAAAGGACCTATCCTCTTATCTAATTGCTGCTTACTTTTCTTGTAAGCATTTGGAGAGGAGCCTTTCTGAAGGGATGGCTTAGGAAGCCCAAGAGGGCTGTGTCAGCTGCTTTGTTAGTCTTACTTATCCACATGGCTATCAATTCTTTCAAACAACTAATTTAATATTTAAATTATCAAAAAACTATAATTTTAAACTCAAAAAAAGGGAAGTGATGTACTCTATCACACATATACTAAAAGTGATTGATTTGTCTTGTGGGTCTGAGGATTACTGGCTTATAAAACTTTCTTAAGAATGGAGGTTTTTCCCTGAAAACTGAAACACTAAAAACTATTTTCACATTGGCTGTGCTTGATGGAATTGACACTGATTGAGGCCTTTAGCCTCATAGCAAACTTTGAGAACTTCCAGGAGATTGAAGAAGGGCAAATCTATCTGCCTGCCAAAAAAAAAGTTCAATGAGAGGATAATAAGTGAATTATAAGTTTGATATTTTTATTGTGGTTTCTGTAAAAATCTTGTGAAACCCAAAGAAAATTGTTCGTAAACTGTATTAATTATTTGTATTGTTTTAGAAAAATCATTAGCTATTTCCAAATATAGGGGAAAAATTAAAAAAAAAAAAAAAGACTAGCACCCAATATGGATTTGTCAAAAATAATGTCAAACAAGACTGATTTTCTTGCATGACAGAAAAACACACCTTATGCATAAGGGAAAAAACAATACTAACATATTCTGTTAGAAAAAATTTTTCTGTTGTTTCAGGAGATATTCATTAGTGAGCTACTGTAATTGCTATTACAGGGAGACCTATGTGATTGGAAGCTTATGTCAAAGTGTAATTATCAATGATTCATGGTGAAATTGGAAGGATGGCTGGTAGGATCTGGTAGGGATCTGTCATGTGCTCTGAATGATGGATAGGTATTATGCATCCAGGTAATGTCAAGCTGGGAAGGTTTAAAAACATGCTGGAAAACAGGATCATAAATGGAAACAAATTTGGCAAATACGTGAAATGGTTTCAAATAATAGGATGTGTTTCAACGTGGAAATCGATAAAAACTGAACCTTTTGGAAGCAAAGAGAGACCCACGAAGAAGTTTATGGACAGTAACTTGGACATTCCTGATTTTCTTTTGAAGCTTATTTTGCTTCTGAAAGTGTATGCTTTGAGCACCTATTGTTTGATTTTACAACCCAAACTTAGTTGTCTCTCTGTTCTTCTTATTCTTTGTGACCTATTTTCTCACAGCACAATTAGTATTATTCTATATATGGATTGGTAGACATAGGGGCAGGAAGTACCTTACATGTTTTTCAGTATTTAAAGTGATTCTTCATCTCTGAATCATCCATTTGCAGAGTCTCAATCAGAGATTTTTGCATGTTTTTTCCCCCCCAGGTAGATAGTTATTCTCTCTAATGTGGCTTGAATGTATCGTATAGAAGAGTTAGTGTAGAAAGTTTCAATGGGGAGCAGAAGGCTCTGAGGTGGAAAGCGCTGGGAGGTCACGTTGTTCAGCAGGATTATTTTCCAGGATTGTTGCCTGTCTGTCAAAAAAGGAGGGAGAACTTGTTTATGGGTTTGGATGAGCTGGATCGAAGACAACATATTCACATTTAGTGGTTGATATGCTGCTGTTTTGACATTGCAGAAACTGAATTAGATTTACTGTGGTATTTTTTAAAAAAAAAACACACTAAACTTAGTTGCACAAAATAAAACCCTTTTTACCTCCTTAAAGATGTCATCATTTAATACTACATAATTAATACAAAATGGACCACTGCATGCAATGAATAGTGACTCTTTTTCATTCTTGATATGGTTATATATTGGAAATAAGTGGTGAGCTTGATGCCTTTTTTTTTCCCTTACAGAAAACCAGGTAATTTTAATGAAATTAATGTGTTCTTTGAAAACATATTATAAATTTTGATCTTCTTTTAAAGTTTAGTTCCTGTCCTGATATTGCAGGAATTTACTTCACATTAATGAGATGAAGAGGAAGGATAAAAAGGATAGTGAGCAGTTCCTCTGAGAATTTTGAACACAAAATCGTTTCTTGAAATAATTTTTATCTATCTGTAGGATATGAATAGTTCTGATGCTGCAATTAACAGAACAGAGCTGATAAAATAATCAGTAGATAAGGGAATGTGTATTCATGAGTCCAGAACTGTGAGTAGCTGCTCGATGTTATTTCACGTGCTCTTCATTTTCACTTTGATTAATGACAAGTATCTAAATAGAATAGTAAAAGAAAGTGTGCTAAGAAACATTCTGAAATGATGTTTCCCTTCTTTGTACTAATTAAACTGTTTTGCTAGTAAAGCCTTGATTATGCTAAAGTATATATCATTAAAAAAACCCAAAATCTTATTTTG